ATATATCTTATATTATCTATATAAAAAAAAATCGTGTAAATTTAACATAAATATTTCATAAAAAATATTTATGTTAAATTTACACGATTTTTTTCGTATAGATAATACATGATATATAAAATATTATGCAAACTGTTATAAATTGAATAATATATTACAGGAAGAAGTAATTAAGTTTTATAATTGTTAATATATCTGATTGAGAGTGCAATCGATATATACGAGTATATTTGATAATTTTGAAAAAGAGAAAATCTGTTTAAACAAATTCTCATAATAATTAACTAAGTACACCCAGTAAAGGAGATTCGTAAACAAGCGTTTGTTTCTACTAGAACATTATTATATACAATTAAAATAGAGAAAGTAAAACAAAAATTGCGTACACAACACTACCGTCCTTTAGATGGTATCTGACGAACATGCTCAATAATCAGTTTAGAGTGATCTCTCGAGACGAGACAACTCGCTATTGCACCAATATATTTGTAATGATTCTAATAACCGTTCTGACCAACTTAATTGTGGTTATATGAGAAAGTATAATTCAATGGTAATTTTATTAGGACGTATATAACGTATCGCACGAGGTAAATATCACTGAAAGTAAAATATTTAAATAGATTATTTTAAAAAAATAGATAATAACGTACAGAATTACAAATCGAACACAAATTATTTAAAGAAACATATACAATGAACGCAGTTTAATTTCCTCATAGTCATTTTTTGTAGAGTTATCGTGTGACGGTTTTTTATTAAAACTCTTTTTGCGCGCAGTTATAGATTCGTAGCTTCATATATTCACACCGAATTTATATTTAAGCATCTCTAAGATCCAACTTCGATCGTTAAATACTTTTTTTTTACTATTGATTATGTATTCACATAAATGGCCGAATAAGATTCTTATTGTTTACGTCTTTTTAGTTTTAGCATATTTTTATCATATTTGATATAAAGACGAAAAGAGAGAGTTCAACTGAAAAATATATCATTAAATATTATTAAAGTAACAACATCGAACTTATATTCAAAAATTTTAGTTAGATTAAAACGAGCTCTTTGAAATTCAAGATTACTTTAGGAAGTTAAATGTTAATGTTAAATGTAAATTAGTATTCTCGTTAAATAAGGGCATTATTAATTTTTAATTTCATTTTAATTTCAAATTTCGTTCTAATAATTAATAATTCGGTTAAATAATTTTTCGTAATGGTCTCGTACTGATGTTCTCCTTGTAATAAACATTACTTCCGCATTACTTCTTCATAAGGGATTTGAGAAATAAATCAGAAGTATTGTACACTGATAATGTGGCTCGGAAGGAAGCCGAAACGTTTGTTTATTATAGCAGAAGGTCACGTTTATCAATTTATAAGAAGAACGTCCAGAATAAAGATTTTTGCGTTCTAACTACGCGCTTGAATCTATATGCACGTATTATTATTGTACGTTTTATTATTGTAAGAATAACATAAGAGTAATTAATTTTGAGTGCATTAAAATATACTCAAATATATAATAGAAAAAGGAATTCATAATTTTCCCAAATTAGATTTTATGTATGATTATCTTAATATATAAAAGTAATTAAAATTATTTTTTCCCATTTCTTTATCTTTATATAAAAATTAGTTATAATTTGGACTGCATTATCATTTGTTTCTTTTTAAAAATTTTAATTTATAAACCACCGAAAAATTGCAGATACATGAAACAATCAAAAATCGACATGGAATTCTTAAAGTTGTTATTAAATATTGGTTTAATATTGGTTATGAGTTTCTCCATCAATGGTTTTGAAATTATACGTCGTTTATCCGTTAACACGATACCAATTCACTATGATATCAAACTGATACCGTATCTCGAGGAAGGCAATTCTACTTTCCACGGCGAATCTAATGTCAAAATCGTAATTTATCATGCATCGCAAAATATAAACTTACACTCAAGAGAATTAGAAATAAATGAAAGGGCGACAACGTTGATTAATGACAAGGGTACAGTTTATAAACCGATGAAACATAT